CAGGCCTACTCCAGGCCAAGTGACTGAACAAATATTATTCATTTACAGCTGTTCAGCATTGCAACTAGGAATGAAAAAAGGGAGTTCATTTTGCAAAATAGGATGTGATAGGCTTGGGAGGAGCAAACTGTTGCTTCCCCAGTGCCATCTGGAATTTCAGTGTCATATTATTTCCTGTTAAAATGGGCAGCAGCTATACAGATAAATAAACCAGTACACCAATAAAATGAAAGCGAAGAAGAAACAGGCACTACCCTAAAGATCAATTATGAGTAATATATTGCTGTTAATTTCTTAGGTGTGGGTTTGAATCAATTGCAGACTCCCTGCCCATGGTATGTTTATTATTATGTGTAGATTGAAAATTCTAACTTGCCTCTTTCCTGATAAGCCATGGTCATAAACCATGACCAGAACTTGGAATAGTTGGGGAGGGTGGTTGACAATGCCCTCTAGAAACCCCTCAGCAGCTGTAAAAATGTAATATTTTCAAGTTTCCTTTATGACGCTGGCTTGTCTGAGGAAAGAAAAGCTGGTTTCACCTCACAATAAACAGACTGCAGAGGCACGTGGGTATAGGTTCTGGACACTTACATTGCAAGAGGAGAACAAAAAAGCTGGAACAATTTTGTTTGTCATTTCCAAAACTGTCCCTTCAGACACCTCACCTAATAAGTTAGGAAAGATTTCAAAACTCACTACAAGACTTTGGTTATACATTTCTCGCACTTTGCCAAGCAGTGTTGTAGCATATAGGCTAGCCAGAATAGCCAAATAGCAGAGGAATGGAAAAAAATGAGTTTTATAGTATGGACTTGGTAGGTGGTATGAGGCAGAGGTACACAGCTGGACACGATGGAGTGGATGCAGGTGGATGCAGTTATACAAAGCACTTCTGACCCAAGAGACAAGCAATCTGAATACATTATTTTAATAGATTTTAATAAAGGTGGAAAACAGATACACTGTACACCTTGAACTTAATGGCTTAAATGCATGGCTTGCTACTGCCACCAACTGAGGAATAAAATACAATTCACCCTGAAAAAAAAAGATCCCAGAATTATGTTACTAATGCAGAACACAATGAAGTGAACAAATGGTTACAGTCACAAGAAGAATCTATCCATCTGTCTGTCTTTCTATTCCCATAATAAAGATGGATTTTATTTTAAAATGAACTAAAGTGCTAAACTCTTTCACATCTTTAGGAAGAAAGTAACACTTAGGTTTGTTTTCATAGCAGATTTTCAATTCACTTTTGACCAGAAAGAAACAACAATTCCATAAGACATTTTTTGGCATGGAGGCAGAGTTTAGCCTCTGGCACTCATCTGGATATTATTTTCTTCTTTTATTTTTTCTGACTTCAGGCTGTATAGTACAATGCTGTTTTGGTATTCCCACTAATTTCAAACCATACATATATTGTTTGCTGCAGTGGATTAGCATACCTACCCCTCTGAAAAACATGTTGTTTGCAGGAGGGAATTTATTATACATTATTTTTCTCCACTCCCCAAATATTTTAGTTTCAACAAATCTTATATCCCCAGGATCTTCACTAAGAAAAATTGTTGATATGATTCTGGACTCAAAGGCATTCTCAGTTGAGGCAGTTTGACAGCCATTTTTAAATTTTTCTTTTCTATTTAGATATTGATATATTAGCAGTATACAACAAAGGCAAACTAAGCTTTGGTACCTGCTTTTGTAGGCTGGAAAGAGCACTTATTCAGCCAAGACTGATTTGGAGACTGCCCTCTTGAAGAGTGGTCCAAATCAGAACCTGATTTCAGAGATCCTGTGCTATGAAGTTTTTGTTTAGAGCTGCTGGATGAATTATACAAGAATAATAGTCCCTTCTGAATAGACACAGCCTGCAAAAATTCAAGCAAATATGTGCAGAGGGTTTCATAAAACAGGCTTTATATTCTGGGTTCTCCCACACCCTTTTTTATTGGAATCTTATTATTATTTCTTGGTAGATATTTCAAAAAATGGATTTGTTTACCACTGTGTTTTTGTTTTGGGATTTGTTTTACAGCCATTTTGTATGAAAATGACATTGCTCATAGAGGTGCCCCAAGCAAAGCAGGGGCAAAATGTCACAAGAATTAGTACAGAGGTCTTTGTGCAATGAGAGTCTTTAAACTTTTGCACATGCAATTTCTTCTCCTTTCTCCCTGCCTGTAGTTGGCTAGGTGATTTATATAAAAATAGCACACATCCCAGAGGTGTCTCTTGTTTAAGAAGCCTGTAAAATATAAGAAAGATAACTGCAAGAAAAGGGACATATTTTTTTCTTCCTATGAGCAATCCAGGTAGATTTTGTTGGGATCTATAGCAAGAAATGCTGATGGGATTTATCTTGCACCAGTAAACTAAATATTAAAAATTAATACTCCGTAATGCATGTTGTATCAAAACTATGGTCATTCATGTTGCTTCAGTCTCTAATGAAACATGCACATTTTCACAAATGGTATTTCCACATTTTTGTAAAACATGGGGTACTGGAAAATGCAGACTATTGCCTTGTAATAAAATCAGCAGAGTTGGATGAGTTATTTGCATTTTTGTGATCAATCATCCTGTCCTATTGGGCTTGTTCTCTTTATGTGTGTATATTTAACTTCAATGAAGGAAAAAGACATTTGTCAGAGTGATTTTTCACTAATTTTCTTCTCAAAGGAAGCAACAAGTAATTTAAACAATTTTCCTCCTGCTGTCCATGTGCTGTGACTAAAATGATGTCACTTCAAGCCAATCTAAATCTAAATACTGGATTTCAAGGAAAGTAACTTTTCTGTTGCTAATAGAGTTGAAATTTTATCACCTGGATTTTACTACTCTTTAGGCCTAAGCAGACTGCCAGAAATAGTGCACATTAAATTGAG